GGCTTTTCAGGGGGATGGGATGTTAGGGCTGCTGTCCACCGGTGGAGGCTGGCTTGGTTTAGTCCCACCTCACTTACAGGAGGAGGCCATGACCAACTTATAAGGGAGAGTATCCCTCCTCCTTTCAGTCCGGGCTTTTGGGATGGAATGGGCTCTCTACTGAATGTTGGTCCATGTGCGCATAAACGTCCAGAACGTAAGTAGAGTGTGGGCTAGATCAAGTTGGACGCTAACACGTCCCTGCAGTGACTAGTGACTGCAGCCGGCAATGGATCAGCACGGTGACCAGCCATGGGAGTACAAGCTGCGGAAGTACCTCCTTCTGCTGGCCACCGTGGTAGTCACCGTGACTTACGCAGCTGGCTTCAACCCGCCAGGGGGCAACTGGCAGGAGGGCGCCCGCAGCGGCCGACTCGCCGGCGACCCCATCACCCGCGAGATCCACTACCACCGCTACCTCGCCTTCTTCTACTGCAACGCCACCGCCTTCGACGCCTCGCTCCTGGTCATCGTGCTCATCCTCATCTTCGCCGTCTGGCACGACAAGGAGAAGGCCATCACCTGGGTCGCCTCGAAGGTCAAGCCGCTGCGGGTCGTCATGGTGCTGGACCTTCTCAGCCTCGTGGGCGCATACGGCGCCGGAACCTGCCGGGACAAGATCTCCACCGTCTACACCGCGGTGCTGGCGGCCCTCGTCTTCATCTACGCTTTGGTTCTCAAGTTTAAGGACTGGTGGTCTCGATGCAAGAACTCCGGCTCTGGATCTGGCGCGATGACTGTCGAAGAAAACAAGACGATGAAAGAGGAAGGACGGCTCCGCAAGGTCTTGATGCTTCTCGCCACGTTCGCGGTGAGCATCACCTACGTCGCCGGGCTGAGCACCTCGGGTGGCTTCTGGGACAGCCCCGAAGGCAGCCACCGCCCAGGCGACGCTATCCTCAAGGAACACCACAGCGTGCGCCTGACGGTGTTTCTACTCTGCAACACCACGGCGTTCCTGGCGTCCTTGCTCATCACCACACTGCTTATGATCGCCGGCAAGAAGCTCCACGACAAACTAGCTAGGTCTCGCGTGCTCTACGCGTGCATCGTCGTCACACTCGTCAGCCTCATCGGCGCGTACGCCGCCGGCAGCTGCAGGGAGACCGACACCACCGTCTACGTGGTCTCCTTGGTTGGCGCCGTTGTGGCATATATCCTGCTCCAACTCCATGGCTTATGCAGTTCAGAGTCAAAATTACTGTCTTGTTTCACTCCAGATGATAATGGAAGGTCGAGAAGGTACACATTTCCACACGCTTTGGTTCTCAACCCTCCTCTCCCAACGGCGCCCGCCGTCCACTCATCTCAATTCCAAACCCCGGATCCAAGCCAATAGATCATCTTTTTCCTCTGTTTGCAGTTACACTAATTTCTTCTTTATTTCTCTACGACTAAACTGAACACTGTTTCTTCTTTCTTTGCAATGTATGAATGCAGTGCTAGGGAAGCTCTGGACAAGGCTCGCTCTCTTGTTCTATTGCTCGCCACTCTTGCCGCCACCATCACCTACACAGCAGGGTTGGACCCGCCGGGTGGCGTTTGGTAGGACAACGGTGAGGGGCACATGGTCGGCGACCCCATTCTCCTCACGACCAACGCTAGGCGGTACAAGGCCTTCTACTACTGCAACTCGGTTGGGTTTGTGGCCTCCTTGGTGGCCATTGTCCTGGTTCAGAAAGAGATTCTGCTCAAGCACCACGCGCTGGAGGCAGCTATGATACTCGACCTGTTTGGCCTCATCGGCGCGTATGCCGCCGGGAGTTGCCGGGACGTGAGCACCTCCATTTACGCCATGGCGCTAGCAGGCGCCGTCCTGGTCTATGTGGTGATCTATGTTGTCTTCTTCACGCTGGACCACAAGGATAAGAAAGACACGGTCCAGGAACACCAGTTGCTGGAGAAGAGGCGCAAACGGTTGCTTCTCTTTGCAATCTTGGCAGCAACCATCACCTACCAAGCCGGCCTCACCCCTCCAGGCGGCTTCCTGCTCCAGGACAACAAGTTCGGGCGGCACCATGCCGGCGACCCGGTCCTCTTGGACAACTACCCACGCCGCTACAATGCCTTCTTCTACTGCAACTCAATAAGCTTCATGCTGTCCATCGCCCTCCTCCTCCTCCTGGTGAACCCCAATTTGTACAGGCCAGCCATACGAAGCAATGCGCTATCTGTTTGTACGACGGTAGGCTTGTGTTGTTTGATGGGGGCCTACGTCGCCGGAAGTACGCAACACCTCAAGACATCCATCTGCATCTTCGCATTGGTGGTTGTGGTCCTCTTAGTTGTAGTCCTACTACTCCTAGTATCTTTACTGAAGGGGCTGAACAAAAATGGCAACAATTCGGCACCCAAAGAACAGGACAAAAAAGGGAAGAAGGAAGATGGCAACAATTCGGCAACCAAAGAACAGGACGAAGAAGAAGGGAAGAAGGAAGAAGGGAAGAAGGAAGGAGAAAAGATGAGGGATGAAGAAAGCCAGAAGCACGCGAGGTGCAAATACCTGATGCTGCTAGGCATCTTGGTGGCAAGCGTAGCCTACCATGTTAGCTCTAATCTTGATTTGTATCTGCATACTTAGTTTGTTTTTTGTCATGCATGTGACTTAGATGGCCTAGGGAGTGATAGGCAGGTGAAGGTTCACTTTGAGTCGTAGAAAGGCGAGATGTCGAACTGGTCGTGCGACGCGGCCGGTGTGCAAGGTGTGATGCCATGGGGCTGTGCGATGCAGCAACTTCGTGTGAAGCGACATGGTACGAGGGAAGTGCAGCGTGACAACCTGTGTGAAAGAGCCCTGGAGCCAACGTCTACACATGCGTGATCCGAGTGAACAGGTTGAGTCAGTTTGCATGCATGTGAGTTTGTTAGCTGCATGTAATGTGCATTTGAGGCCAAGTCATGGCTCCTGGAGAGATTCCAGGATTAAGATAAGGTCAGTTAGTACATGGTTAGGGCATGTACAATGGTTCTATCTTAGCAATGCCATGTAGGATAAATGATGAGGTGGAGGAGAGAGAAATCATAAGAGAAGGCTTGTCTTCTCTTAATTAAGAGAAGGCAAGAGATGATCTCTTAGCACAATATGTCTCACCATGTTTTTAGGAATAACTAGTTATTCAAGATAAGGCTAAGAGATGACCCATTGTAGACATGTTTTTTTGTCATCTCTAAATTACATACAAGAATTAAGATAAGACCGCTTTATCAACCATTGTACATGCCCTTAGTGCATGGAGAGTTTAGTGGAGTAGTTGGTCTAGGTAGTGGCGTGAGTTTTGCACGGCAAGAGTGCCAGCCCCTGCTGTATAAATGTGTTGCTTTGAGTAATCAAAAGATGATGCCGTGAGGGCTGAGGAAAATATGTAGCATGTGTATTCGCCAAGGAGAAGAGCCTATGGCAAAGCATTTGTGCTCCTTCTTGGTCCATGCGTGTGCGTGTGTGTGTGATTGAGTCTCTCCCATGTGTGTGTGTTCTAGAGAGAAGGAGAGAGAAACCACAAGAGAGTAGTGTAAGCTGTGAGACGCAGCTCAAGAGAGAAGAAGAGCGGCGCTGCGAGGAGGAGCGGCCCCAACAATTGGTATCAGAGCCAGGTTGATCCGCGGCGGCGACAGCGGCGCGGTCGACTCCATGTGAGATGGAGGATGACGACACAAGGTGGAGGCCGTTGGCGGCGCGATGCCGCTGGTGGCAGGTTGCGGTGCGATGCCGCAAGATGATGATGGTGTGATGGTCGGCGTCGCGAGGACGTCATCCATGACAAGACGGTCCATGGTGACCGGCGTTGCGACGGCGTCGGCTGTGGCGCGATGGACTTCATGCGAGTAGGAGGCCGACAGCGCAAGAAGAAGGATGGTGGCCATGCGGTGCCGCTATGTGAAGATGGTGGTGCGGAGCTGCCACAAGAAGAGTCGGTGCGATTCCGACGATGGTGGTGTGATGCCATCGTCATGATGGAAAGTTGGTATGAAGCCAACAAAAGTTGCAGTGCGATGCCGCTTGGACGAAGACGGCGTGGTGATCGGCGTTGCGACAACGTTGTCCATATCAAGAGGTGGCCGCCGCGTGCGGCAAGAGGACATGGTGATGGACGCCGGCGCTGTGATGGCGTCGGTCCACGGCAAAGGCTGCAGCGCCGCGATGGCGTCGCCAAGTGGCAGCGGGTGAAGCCGCGTGAAGATTGAAGAATCAAGATTAAGGGGGAAAATGTTAGCTCTAATCTTGATTTGTATCTGCATACTTAGTTTGTTTTTTGTCATGCATGTGACTTAGATGGCCTAGGGAGTGATAGGCAGGTGAAGGTTCACTTTGAGTCGTAGAAAGGCGAGATGTCGAACTGGTCGTGCGACGCGGCCGGTGTGCAAGGTGTGATGCCATGGGGCTGTGCGATGCAGCAACTTCGTGTGAAGCGACATGGTACGAGGGAAGTGCAGCGTGACAACCTGTGTGAAAGAGCCCTGGAGCCAACGTCTACACATGCGTGATCCAAGTGAACAGGTTGAGTCAGTTTGCATGCATGTGAGTTTGTTAGCTGCATGTAGTGTGCATTTGAGGCCAAGTCATGGCTCCTGGAGAGATTCCAGGATTAAGATAAGGTCAGTTAGTACATGGTTAGTGCATGAAGAGTTTAGTGAAGTAGTTGGTCTAGGTAGTGGCGTGAGTTTTGCACGGCAAGAGTGCCAGCCCCTGCTGTATAAATGTGTTGCTTTGAGTAATCAAAAGATGATGCCGTGAGGGCTGAGGAAAATATGTAGCATGTGTATTCGCCAAGGAGAAGAGCCTATGGCAAAGCATTTGTGCTCCTTCTTGGTCCATGCGTGTGTGTGTGTGTGTGTGATTGAGTCTCTCCCATGTGTGTGTGTTCTAGAGAGATGGAGAGAGAAACCACAAGAGAGTAGTGTAAGCTGTGAGACGCAGCTCAAGAGAGAAGAAGAGCGGCGCTGCGAGGAGGAGCGGCCCCAACATACCAGGCCGGCCTGGAACCGCCCGGCGGAGCGTGGCAGAGCAGCAGCAATGGGTGTGAAGCGGGCAACCCGGTCATGCACGACAAACAGGAGGCCCCGGTACCTCGCCTTCTTCTACAGCAACTCCACTTCCTTCATGGCTTCCATCGTCATCATCATCATGCTGCTACCGCAATGGCTGCCAAAAAAGGAGAAAGGGGAATGGGAAAAATGGTCACTGAGGGTGATGAACAGGACGATCATACTGGATTTGATCGCTCTCCTAGTGGCCTATACAGCTGGCTCCAACAGGGGGTGGAAGACGTCCGTGTATGCGATCGTGCTCATCGTTGCCGTGCTGGGCTACTTTGTGATCCATATGACGCTGTCAAGGAAACCCAATCAGAGTGATTCATCATCATCAGTCTAGCTCTACTGGTTTGAGAGGCGGCAGTCCATAAAGTGATCCAAAATTAGGGGTGATGGATCATCTATTTATTTCTTTCTGTCTCTAGATCTTTAATCAGCTCAATTAGCTCTATCCAACCCCTCAGCTCTTGGCAATTCACCCTCTTTTCACATTCCTAGTTTGGTTGATGTACTCGATCGCATGTCCAACTGCAGCATGCTGGCATTGTTTGTCGACTCACTACTGGGCAAACTGTGCATGTATCTTAATCCAATGAATACGCATGGTAGGCAAAGTCTGTGTGCACTCTGTGTCTTAAGAACTATGAGTGGGCACTGCATGAACTGCAGTTAGATTTGTATTCGGGAAACTGAATCATTTTTGTTGATACCGAAACATACTAAGCCACCAGGTACAGTTCTAAAGTAGTATTGTGCAATCCTGGTAATTAGTACTCACTGATGGGAAGAAACATGGGAGTATCTAGAACTCATCTAGATGAGATATGATTTGATCTCATTCACTTTGAAAACAAGAACAGATACAACCCACATCAGCACACACGCGTCTTATAGCATCACATCCAATGGCTATAAAAAAGGAATGAGACCAAATTATATCTCATCTAGATGAGTTCTAGCAAAACTGACCAAACAATCCCAAACTATTTCAACCCATGGACTAAAGAGCCAAATCGGCCACCAGCTTCTCCTCCTCACGGTTCGCATCGTAATTAATGGCAACGTCCTCTCGTTGTTATTGCTCAGACCGCGGATACGGCGACTCGGGTTGTGCACTAGGAGTATCAGAAAGGCGGGCGAGGGCTGTGTGTAGAGCAGGTACCTGTTTAGAGCACATGACAAATATGACTTCTCAAACGTCCGCGGATAGGGACCAGACACTCCTTTACATCTGAACATTCTATACTAGATTCTTATAAATCCACAAAAGCATGCAGACGATTTAACCTACTCTCTCTGTTCCTAAATATATCACAAAGAAGAGTTATCACATCAAGCTGCACGGTCCTGACTCCTCCCGACTCCTCCCGTGTCGGCCCTGGGCGGCGACCGGGGGAAACCCTAGCACCGCCGCGTCCTCGTCCCTCCCCCGACCTCTCCTCCTCGCCGCCGTCGGGGCGCGCCGCCGGGCAAAGCCCAGTCAGCGTCGGCGGCCGCGGGATCTCTTCTCCCACGACTCGCTGGATCTGGCGCGGGCGGATCGAGGCGGTTTTTGGCGGCGCGCTGGAGGCGAGGCGCGCCGGCGCGGGCTTGGGGGCGACGGCAGGGCTCACGCTCGCGGTTTCCCCTGGTGTGCGTGGGAGTCCGCTCGGGGCGCGCGGCAGCGGCCCTCGGCAAGCGGTGGCGGGCGCTGGGCTCTCGGCGGCGTTCCAGCGTGTGCAGGCGGCGGTGGTCCCTATGCGCGGTCGGCGGCTCCGTTTCTGACCCGGACGGCGCGGGGGATGGCGGCGGCCCGGCGTGGCTAGCGATCTGGATAGGTGTAGCGACAGTTGTTGCTTAGATGGTGGCTTTAGTCTTGCTATTGTATGGCTTTGTAAGGTCTTGTGAGAATAATTAATAAAGTGGTTGTATACATCGCCCAGATGCAGAGGCCGGGGGTCATCCTTCTTTTCTAAAAGAAACTCGTTTTAGATATTCCATTATAAACTACATATGGAACAAAATGAGTGAATGTACACTTTAAAATACGTCTACATATATATATATATATATATATATATATATATATATATATATATATATATATATATATATATATATAGAAATCTCTAAAAAGCTTATATTACGGACGCGGGAAGTACGTACTACATAGATGATCTAGTGACTCCTCGTCTGAGATATCGACAATCTTCATGCCTGGCTCCGATAGCATGGGCAGCAGCTGCAGCTCCAACGCCTCCGGCTGCTCCGCTCCTGCCTCCTCCTCCCATATCTCCGCATCGAGTTCGGCGAAGAGCGCGTCGGCCGCTGTCTACTCCTGCAGGAGGAACTGCCGGTTGGCCTCCACACAGGCCTCATCTTGGATTGACTCCAGGCGGGCCTGCAACTCCGCCATCACCGCGGCTTGGGCGACGGTGAACTCCTCCTCCGCCTCCGCCTCCGCCATGTTGAACCCCGGAGCAGACTGGTCCACCTCGTCCTCTTCCGGATCTGCCACCCCCATCGGCTCCGGGCTAGATATGAGGGTGTCGATCAGCCCGTGCGTTTAAGGTCCGTTTGAGGCGCCCGTCTGGATCAAAAATTCATGACCGGTCAGTGACCGAGCGGCATGCCCGGGCGTATGAGGCGGGTTTGGGATGCCGGGCTATAGATGCTTTTAAAGGCAAACATCTCGTCTACGTCTGCTTTCTGCTCCATCTGGATACAACGGTTGGCCTCCGCCTCCGACAGAAATGAATTGAGGATTGCCTGCTGCTTCGTCTGCAGATCTGCGTCACCCGTGTTTGCCACGTCCTTAGGTTTTTTTTGGATCGGTCAGTGACCGGGTCGTTCGCCCGGGCATTTGTGAGTATGGTGAATCAATTTGCTATAGATATGGTGAATCAGGTGTGAGTGCGTGGCTAGATTTAGAATCCACATGCACGCATGCATGTTCCATTGGTCAAGCATTTTAAGAAGTGCAGCTATGGAAATTAGTAGGCATGTGGCAGCAGCTAACCACCCGCCCGACGCCTCTCTTACGGCAGTAATCAGACACTGGACAGCGTGGGCACCTCGATCGGAAGCACCTGCTCGAGGCGCGAATGCAGCTGCTACGCGAATCTAGCACGAGGGAGTAGAAAGTGGAAGGTCAGGGGCGGCGCTGCGCTGGCCAGGTGCAGGTCGGGGCGGGTCGTCGCCGAAGATTGCCGGAGAAAAGGAGCGGCGCCTTGGCTCCTGCTTCTGGCTCGCGCACGGCTCTGTCTCGTGTCGACACTGGTATTCAAAAACAAACCGTTGAAACTGGCAAGCTGGGCAGGTAGTGCATTTTTCACTGTAGCTTGACAAGCAGGCCATTTTTTCTAGGCCGGCCCATGAGCATGGGTGCCTGCCAAGGAACTAAACGGGTTGTGCCTGGCCCGTGGCACGCCGTGTGAGGTTCTCGTCCGTCGAGCTGAGGCCCATGTGTCGGCACGGCATGACCTATTTATTTATTTTAAAAAAATTAGGCCGAATGAACAAAAAGAAAACAACCCAAAAGGCTGGAAACCACGCGGTCCATTGCGCGTGTTGTGTGCTGGTCCGCCAATCGTTTATTAACGGACTGTCGTGGGCCGTGTCGGGCCAAGCCTGATTAGGTGTGTGATGGGCCATGCCATGCTCGGGTCAGCCCATTGGACACCTATGTTCTTCACATCTAGAGGAACAAACCTTATCTCTACTTACTTAAAAAAAATTGTGTTCCTTTTCCTGCCGGATGGAGTGCTTCATCTAAAATTCCACTTTGTCTCAAAAAAAAATCTAACATTCCACTTTTTTCTGATGATCATCCCTTGGAAACCGTCTTAATTGTCCCATGTTTTATTTTTGACTTACTAAATAAACTATATTTTCTTTGGTAAATCAATAAGTGAGTACAAAATAAAATAACGGGCAGGATTTGGTAACATTTGACACATTCATATAATACGGACAAGTAAATTATGGACTAATGTACTAGAATATTTATAAATATTCTGGCAACGCACAGGCAAATACCTAGTTTTTAAATAAAGGAAGATAACAATGAAAATGTGATGCATATTAATGAAATTGTAGATATAATGTATACTAACGAAATTGGTGGCATGGTTGTGCATGTGGCCTTCACGCTGGTATGAAACAATGGCAAGCAGAACCAAGCATGAGTGTCAAATGAACTTCTTACTTTCTTGGGATTTTAGAATTTATTATGCTTTCAATTTGATAATAATATGTAAGTTATGTGTTATAATTTATCAACACCTAGCAGACACATACATATGAGATGATAGCGCGCCCAATCAAAATTTCAAGAGCGCAAGTTGAATGACGCCAAGAGGGAAGAGAAGATGGAAGGTTCACCAGGTAGGCGAGACAGGGCAATACCACCAGGTAGGCGAGACAGGTAGGGAAGAGAAGATGGAAGGTTCACCATGGATTTATCTGGCAATGGCATAAATAGGGCGCGCCTCTATGACAGTATGGCAGAACTCTCCTCCGTATCACCGAAAGAACTGCAAACGAAAACGATGGCGATCGAATTAAACAGTGTCCGGTCTCTGCAGTCCAACTGATTTGTTCGCTGCAGCTGATAACCCAATTTTTTTGGTTCGGTGCTTTAAATTTTCGAAACTTTGAATTCCAGTCCAACTCCAAGTTAGCCAAGGCTGACTTCCCGATGTGCCTGTAGCAGCGGCAGAGCGGACTCGTCCATCCGTTGCATGTCGTCCTACCAATCAGCACCAAAGGCTGCGTTGCACCTCGCTTTTGCCTCGGCCGTGCGATGCATGCCGCTCGGCCGCCTGTCCCGTCGTACTCCCTCACCCCGGCATGACCAACTGAGCAACATAAAATACCACCCCGTCGCCTACCGGGGCAACGCCACCACCATATTTCACCTCGCCACCAAGGCCGCGCACGCGTGAACAGCAACCAACGCACCGAGCTAGCCTAGCCGACATGGCGTATGCTGCCTCACGGGGCCATCCTGGGCAGAGCCGCGGGTGCCCTCGGTCGCTGCGGCCACCGCCAACCTCCCTCCGGTCCGGGCGCCACCCACTTCAACGGTTCAACCTCGCGCTACCGGCGCACCCGCGCATCACGCTCCTCACCAGCCCCCGCGCATCTTCCCATCCCGCCACACCCGCGACAGCTTCCCCTCCGTCCTTGCTCCTCCGATAGCCTTCTCCTCCTCCACGCCGACCAGGCCGCGCCACCCCCACCATCATCGACACCCCCAACCACCAGCAGTTCGGCTGGCGCCATCGCCGTGGGCTACTTCATGCTCCATGCCGGCGTCGACTCCGCCCTTCTTCTCCACACGCTCGAGCTCATCACCCA